CGGCGAAGGTGGGTGAAAACAACCGCGGAATCAAATTAGAGACGATGGGATGGGCCAGGTGGAAGTACCAGCCGGGGTAGGGTTGGCAGAACGACCAAGAGGAGCCGTGGGGTAATTATATTTACAAGTGGCAGATCTCGAAAACAAAAGACTCGAAGATTGCTCGATTCATTCGAGAACTCCCCAAAGAATCGTCCTTTTTCCACTGTCTTTTTGGGAAAAATCGTAGCCGATTAGTACCTCGCCGTACCTCCTCTCCCTCCCAATTTAATGCGATAAGATCTGTTTATCGTCCGTTCGTTTTTTTCCTTCTTCCTCTTTCCCCTTTTTCTTTTTTTTCTTTTTTTTTTTTTTATCGCAAGACGACGAGAACGATTATCGGAATCCATTGAAACTCGAGACTTTTTCAAGTCGTCGTCCAGACAATCGCGTCCATCGGAAGTTGAGAGTCAGAATCCTCGGTATCAGCGATACAGTTTGCAAACTTCTGTTTAAAATTCGAGTTAAACCGTGCGGGTTTTCAAATTAAATTAACGCCGAACAAACGTCGTTCCGACGAGGAGGGTAACGAATTCTTTTTAGGCGCGAGTTTTCACGGGTTTCAACTTGGCTTATGCCGAAGCCTTTCAACATCCTCGTTGAAGTTTCCCGATATAATGTAATTTTCTGTTTTCTTTTTCCTTCTTTTTTTGAAGGGCAGATGAAAGGTGGGGTTAGGAATACTTCAAACGGCGCGTTACAGGCAGTTCTGGCACCAGACCAATTTTCATTCTTCAATTTCATTCCAACAGAGATTCACGAAAATGAAAGAAATAAATGCACTGTTTTGTTAGAAAAAAATCCTTTTAACCGTCGCGTCCCTGTCAGTAGGTCTCACCCTTGGCGCCATCGACCCTTGTTGTATATTTTCATATATTCCTCTCAGACCGGACAAAGTATTATGAGAACATAGTTCGCATACTTTGAGTGCCGTTCCTACGCGTACTATTACAGGTGTACTATTGCTTTCTCGTAGAATAGTATTCTTCTCGCTTCTTTTCGCCAACGTGGAATATTTCCGGAAATATTCCGAGCGATCGAAAAACGGAGATTCTCACGCTGTTGCAAGTCGTATTTATATTCATTCGAAATATTTCTGGACATATTTCCTGTCGCTGTATCATTTCACGATAAGTCGCCAAAACTGATGGCTTTTCAACGCCGTGAATTTTGCACATTCATTGAAAAATTAAATCGCACCGCGAGCCGTAAAGAAAGATATATTTGCCGTGATTTCGGCAAACGAAATGCTAAATTAAATCGCGGGGAATGGTAATCGTTATCGACGATGCAACGAAAAAGAGGTGCGAAAAGAATGAAAAGGTTTTACTGGCCGGTAGAAATGGAAAGCGGGCGAACGTGCAGGGACATTTGACGCAGCCCTCCACCCGTCGCGTTATGGAATTTTTGCGGAACGGCTTTTTTTAATTGATGCAATTCAAACCAGCTAGCCAGCAGGACCGCCTGTGCCGCTCGTAAAACTTTTCGTCGCCTTTCGCTTGAAATTCGAAGTTGCTGAAGAGTTTTTCTTCTGCAACGTTCGCCCCCTCTCTTTTTTTCCTCTTCCCATCTCTTTCTTTCTTTGCTTTTTCATCGTAAATGATCCCCTTGGGAAATATTCTCCCCCCCCCCTCTTCTCGAAGCTGTTGCAAACAAATAAAGAGAAGAAAATAAACTAAACGAGAGAAGGCTTGTGCTCTGTGCTCGAGAATTCCGACGCAGACGAGCCCGGAAGAAAGAACGTTTGAAGAATCTCGCGAGATGATCCGAGCACCTCGAAAGCGAAGATCGAGAATTATCGTTCGATTATTGGGAAATTAAGGAAAAGGAAGAAAAAAAAAAAAGAAATCAGGGGAAAAGGCATAATAAGGCTTCTTGATCGGCGCTTTCTTCGCGTGCTCATTTTAGCATACCTAATGAAAAGCTTAACAGTTGGTTTAACTTGGCCGAGGATTAAGTTTACCTCGTTCCAAGGGTGCCAGAGCAATGTGGAATTTCTACCTCTTGCTTTTCCGCTTCCTCGCCCCTGCGTTGGAAAAGAGCGCTCGCTAGGTATTTCTTAATTAGCAGCAAGTATCTCGTTCCACGGAAGTTGCCTTATTAATTAATATTACAAAAGGGAATCCAGCTGTACTGTCTCGCTTTATCTTGATGTCTACTTTCGATCTTGCGGTTCGCGCTGATTTACGAGCGAGGTACTATCGCGTTCGCACGTGCAGGGGAAATTGCATCAACGCGATCTGAATGCACGTCGCTCGATTCCGTGACGCTTCTCGCTTACGTTCCGAGCATGCAATTTTCTTTCGCGTGATTTTTCCCTTCGACGATTCTTGTACTCTTTCCACTCGTCATTCTACGAGGATATCATTTAGAAGGGGTTGAAAGATGCTCGTTGCACGGTAGAAAACCGGGGGAGGAAAGAAACTTCTTCGAGGCGTGTAGTAAGACACTGCCGGAAGGTGGCTCGGAGAGGTGGGCGATAAAGAAAAGAAACTGAGGAAGAGAGAACGGTTATTTGAGCAGCCAGTCTTATAGCTCGACAAAGAGTACGAAAGGACAGGGCAACGGGTCGAGGGTGAAAGGGGGAGGTGTACAGTAACATTGAAGTGGCCCGGTTCAAGCGAGAAGAAAAATATGTAATATCGCCGAGGGCGTTTTAATAAACCGAGTTGGCCAATCAAAGCAGGGGGAGTTAAGGAGTTTTCTCGCCTTTTAACGGCTGCTTTTACGCGCGTTTAAATCACACTTCGCGCCGCTTCTAGTCCTCGAGAATAATAGGAGCGGGAGCACGCCGCCGAAGGGTGGCAGGGCCAAACAGGTCGGGGGAAGTGTGGCAAGGTGTGGCACGAGGAAGGAAAGAAAAAAGTATCCAGGAAGGCGTAGAAATATTTTTATGACTGAACGGCTGTGAGATTGAATGAAAGCGGGAACGAGGGAAATGTGGCAAACAAAGGAGAAAGAACGAGCAATAGGAACGGAACGGAGCGGAGAGACGGTGACGGTGGGCGATGGTCGGTTGTGCGAGAGGGTCGAGGGTAGGGACAGAGAAAAGAAGGAAAAGACAGAGAAGATTGGTTGCTTTGTAACCGGTGTACGCGCGATACGCTTACGATGCCGGGTCAAGAGAGAATAAACGTAGTCACTCACACAGAAGCGCGCGATAACGTATACCACACGGTCCGCTGGGCGAACGTAAAAAAATGCGAAAACTTTCGCATTTCGCCCAGCCTTCATTTTTATTCGCGTCGGTTTTTCACTCCGAGCATCCGCGTCCCCGTGAACACCGGGGGCCGAGGCTGGACACGCGCGCTCATCGGCCGGATATTATTTCAGTCGGCGCATATTTCCGCAAATGAATTTTATGAAAACAGTTTTTGCTCTTTTAATTAATCGCTGTTTCGTCGCCGGACCCTCTCCCAGGCCACCCTCTGTCCCTACCTTGCCGTGTCGGCCTGGCCTTCTCCTCTCCTCTTGCGCCGGCCGGCGTCCACCACTCTTTTCGTCATTCCGTCGACTCACGTGGATCACCGGGCACCGCGCAAAGCTTTTAATAATAATATTGTTTCAAGGACCGCGAGAGGGCCGCGACGCATACGTTCTTCCCTTTTAATCACGCTCAACGGATGGAATACGATTTTCGGCCAGCTACCACCGGCTATCCACCGCGCCGCGTTCTCATCCGTGCTTTTGTCCGTGCTACGCGTATCCGTAGAAAAATATAACCAGACGGGCTATTAACGTTTATCATTGTCGCCAAGAAAAATATCTCGTTCGAAATTATTTTAAATCAACTAAGCGTACCATGGCTACAAAATGTATTTATATATATATATATATTCCTGTTCTCCAACGTGATATGCTTTTCTATCTGGTGTTTCAATTTTATCATTTGAAATTTTAGCCGACAGGTACTTTTACAGAAACATCGTGGTACGCTAGATTTTCGAGAATCGTGTCGTCGTTTGATTTGAAATATTGATCTTCGATGTTTGTTGTAATAAATACAATCTAATATGCCTTTAAGTTAACAACGGCGAGAAAGCCACATTTGGTTAAGTTGTTCGCTGGTATCCGTGATTCGCGCGCATTAAATCGGTCCACGCGATTCAGCAGGAAGTTTCGCCTCTGTACTCGCGACGAAGTAAAGTGGCGTTTGTGCCGACATTTTGTACAAACAGGAATAATCGCCGACCAATTAGAGCCAGCCGGGGAAGGGTTTTATAGTTAGACGAACCTTCGAGCAGCTAGGTGCGCCGCGGATAATCACGGCCATAAATAAGATTTATCGGCTGCGGGTCTAATTGCCAATGATTATCGTAGGCGGCACGAGAAAAATTGCCAATTTACATCGAATGCTCGCCCTTTCCACCACCCGTTTCCCGCTTAGTTTACTTGCCTCGGTCCTTCGATTCCAGATAAACGGTCCCTCTTACGAAATCAGACTGTGTTTTATAGCCGTTGTTTCGTCGCGATCGAGTCGAGAAATTCTCCGTTGAAAAGAGAAAGGAAATTATTTATAGAACGCGACGTGTCTCATCGTAGATTTTCGAGTAGACTCTTAGAGATCGTTCGTTTTTTCGATTTCTCATATCCTAGAGGTCGTCGCTTCACATCCGCTTTTTTCTTCTTTTCTTTTTTTTTTGTTCTCGAGGGTTCGCGTTCACAGTCGAATAGAGTTGGATCCCGCTCTCCTGAATACGCAATGCGATTTATTCGAAACGTGGCGTATAAAACACAAAGGACCGCGTATGATTGGTAAATTATTGAGGCATAGCGGATTTGTCGGCCAATCACGTAGCGGTCTTAAATAATTCAGAGGAAGCGCGAAGGATGCGAGAAACGCAGGGAAAATCTCCGAGGCAGCGGCAACCGATGCGAAGATGTGTTACAAAGCATTGACTTCGCAGTCGCGAAATCAATATCGGGGAGGGTATAGGATGGTATAGAACTACACGGCTGTCAACATCGAAACAGTAATTTTATTTTAATTAATATTTCTATGATAGAACTATGATACAAAACATATCTATACTAGCAAACGTACACACTTCCTTACGTATTCTCGTTTCAAAGATTTTACATGCATCGTAGATAGCGATTTAAGACGAAATGGATTTCCCTGTTAGACAAGCAGCTTGGTTACAATGCACGTCGATGGAGCACATACTTGATGATGTAGGTAACGATAGTGTGTGACTAGAGATCGCCTACCACAGATCGCTACTAATCTATGCGAGTTAATTTGGTTAGACAATCGGTTAGTAGTCGTACGAGACAATATGGGTTTTCGTTTTTCTTTTTTTTTTTCTTCTCTCTCTTTTTACTGATCGTTACGTTTCGTCACTTTTCGTCCCAAAGACGCTCAAGCGTTAGGAACTACGCGCGCACTCGTAAAATCGCAGAGTATCGTGGAAGTATTCGTTATTCTTAGAAAATACGAGAACAGAAAGATCGTTTCGATGGAGAACCTCGATGGAGGACGATCGTAGGCTTGTTCGCTCGTTCGCGAATATCTTCGCCGAAATAATACGCGATAAAATATTACATGTAATCGGGTCGACAAGTGAAGCGATCGAACTTGCAAGGAATCGTAGTCGTATCTGCTCTCTCCGTTTGGAGGAGTATCCGTTCCCCCGCGAAAATTATCGTATCCGACAGGCGTAAGCCTATTATCGTTTCGAGCGATCGCGAAAAACTCTTTTCCGGAGGCGTGCCACCGACAAATCTCCGGAGCGTATGCCATCGAGGAAATAAAACATTTTCTTCGGCCGGTCTGCTCGTTTCTGATAGCGGCTCCCGGCCAATCCGAGAGAAAGAGAGAACTTTCGGCATAACTCAGCCTCGTTATCTGACTCGCAAATAAGGCAACGGAAAAGTTCGCGACATCAATCTGCCTCCTCTACCGGGGAGAATTCGAAGTTGAAACAATGCTTAAGTCACCCCTAACGTATGAGCCCCAAGAGGGCGGGGAGGGGGAGTGGGGTGAGGTGGCGAGGTTGGCTCTGGCTGGTTTGGATGGCGAAGGCCAGAGCTACCGATTCGATCTGCCAGGCCGACTTCGCTCACCAATTTCATTCGGTTTGGCCGTTCCTCCAGTTCTACCTCCGGTAGTAGTAGTCCGTTGGTCCGGTAGTCCGGTAAAGCTAGATTTACCGGCGTTGCCCGCAGCGGACAGCAAAGTCGACTACAAGAACGGCCAAACTTTGATCACCCCTGAGCATTCGGTTTACCCGGCATTGTTTCCTCGCGCGCCTCTAACCTCATCCAGCTCCAACCCCTTTTTCTCTCTTTGTCTCTGTCTATCTCTTCCCTGCTCCTCTCTACGCTGGCCACTTCGCTCCGTCTCGTCGTCGATTTTTACGTTATCTTTCAAGAGTTAGACTGCGAAATTCGAACAATTAAACTTCTAAACAGCACCAATGGTTCCACTCGTGTCGACTCGTACAGTCTTCAGAGTCTGATCACCTACTACGTCACGAGTATAAAATGTAACCTTTTGACGGTGTACATTCCTCATCTAGTAACGATTTAATTTTTTTCTGCGGAAAATTCGAATTTTCCTCTGGATGAAATTAATACGACGTAACAGGCACCCGTTTCGAAAGAGTACCACCTAATAAATTTTCGAGAAACAGAAGTCGCCATTGGAAATTGCGTGTTCAACGTTTGTTTCTACGCGTGATTTTACGAAAGTTCGTGAATACGGTCGTTAAAACGGCCGCTCGTGGTTGTTGTTCGAACAACGAACCTCGAGCGTTGTGCAAGCAGACTTTTGAGACCCCCAGTAACGAGCAAACGATCCGAGTGTCACTACGATAGCGGTAATAATGATAAAAGACGTCCGTGTCGTTAAACGAATTTGGCAACGCATTTGTGATACGATCGATACGACGCGTCGGCGCTTACTTCGTTTGTCATTTGGTATCGTAAGGCGTTTGTGCATTGATACCGTTTAAATTATTCATGGAGGTTAGAATGTTATGGGCACTGGAGCTCGCTGGCGCTGCGTAGCCATTGTGGTTATGGGTTGTCTCCCCGTTAACTGATCTCTGCGGGCTCGGCGACATAATCTGAAACATAGAAATTCTCAAAGTTACAACGTGCACGAAAAATTCGAACGGATCGCGGTACAACGTATATATGTACGCAGTTACGATATTGAACCACAACTCTGGTAGTTCTAGCGTTAAAATCATCTCCTCCGCGGTAGAATACAATTTCAAAGCTTTCTTAAACCTAGACGGATCTAAGGTGGATAGAAACTCGTAGCGTTCTAATTACATTCGCAATCAATCGACCGGGCAACGGCTTAATCTGATTCGGGCAATTATTCACGACAGAGACTTGAAATTCGGAGGGAGGGATGGCATCTTTCCGCGCAGCGAAAGGGGTTGATGCCACTAACGAATTCGTTTTAGACACGGTGTTCTTGTTCCCGTTCTCCACCGTCTCTCTACCGATTCTACTCCAAAAACAAAAGGCCAGAAGAACGAGAACTTGTATCTCAGCTCAGACGTAGCAACGCAACTTGGGCGTTTCCGCTCGTCCCTCCCGTCTTTTCCCACTCGATATCCTCTCTTTCTACTTCTGTCCCTTCCCCTTCACCACGGCCTTCACCAGCCGTCTCTATCTGCGAGGCATATAATCATCGGGACGATAGCGAGAGGAAGGGAGAAAGAGTGCACGTGGCGATAGGCGGTGAGGACACCGAGCGGGGAACGAGAGATGCCGCTAGGATAGATAAGTGCTGTTGAAAACTTCAAACTTCGTATTTCTAGCTCCGTTGTTCCCTTCACCATCAGTTTCTCTTAGTTTCGCCGGCAAAGGTGTTAAATTATACAGGCTTAAAATTCGGCAGACCGTGCTGTGGCAGCAGCCCCTGCTGACGAGATCCACCCTTACCATGATTTTACTTGGCAAGTTGATCATGCTAACTTTCGCGCGATGAACGAGCCTGCCATTCTCATGATTTTCCCTCATGCGCGGCGAACTTTCGTGTCCACAAAGTGGTTGAACAGTCAGGCGGGCAGAGGGAGGGTGCGTTGGGGAAAGAAAAATAAAGGCTGTTTAATAATTCTTTCGAACATGATACAGCCTTTAAAGGGAAACGTTTGAATTATGTAGCGCGTTTTTAATTGGAAAGTCTAAGGTGCAACTGACAGAGAAAAATTCACACGGGCCAGCGGCCGCCAGTAATTAACCCGTAAATAATTATGATAAAAATGACAAAGCACCGCCGAAGAAATGCTTTATCACCGTTGCAAGAGGGCGACTTTCTCTCCCCGGGTGGAATTTCTAAATCTCCTTGCCGCAACGAGAACCCTTTTTAACTTTTCGCGAGCCGGCGAGGACCCGCCACCGTCTTTCTTCCTTCCTCTCTCTCCTCGATACAAACGGCCTTCCGTTTTATCTCTTTTCCTCCTCCTCGCTTTTCACTCTGTTTCTTTTCGCCCTCATCCCATTCGCTAGGACCCCGCACGTAATTAAGAAATCTCCGTGGAAGGCTCCGGACTGCTCTGTTGGTCGGTACCACGGGTTAAATTAAGTCTATGACTTATTCAAGTTTTATCTACAATTGCCAGGGAAGGAATTACTGTCCGGTGGATTTACTGCCGTCGTTGTAATCAAACGGCACGCGCTCTGCAAATCGTTCGTTTGCATAGATACAGATTTCGGGCGCAGAGCACTGTAACAATAAGATGAAACCATTCGAACGTATCTAGGTTTCTCATAACTTTGACAGAAAATTTTCTTCAGCGTTTTCACATCTCCAGTTTCACGTAATGATTCATACAAACCCAATAAATATGACCTGCGTTTGAATCACGAAACCAATCTTGTTCAAATCAACGTTAATAGATTTGGAATCGTTCAGATCCAACTTCCTGTTTAGCGTTTTATTTTATTTCCATCAACGCGTCCATCGTTTGAAATTCTTTCAGTTCGTCGGATTGTAGACTGTAGACGATCTTATTAGCTCCATTGCGCAATTTCCTGCGCCAGCGTGAATGTATCTTTACACCTCGGCCCACGAATAAGACATTAATCGCGACTCGACGAGAAGGTGAAGGCAGTTTGTAACTGACGGTAAATGCGGAGCATCGGGGGGTTGCCGGGGGGTTGTCGGTGGTTACGGGGAGCTAGGAGAATCGCGTGTCATTTGTCCGTTGATCTCCCGCGGCTGGGAAACAGCCAGGTGCAAGCTAGTTCCTCCACGGTGCCGCTTTTCTTAAGCGCAAAAATTAGCGCCACCCTCCACGCCATTCGCCGCCCCCGTGCCACGATTCTTGCCGGTCTATCCGCCCGGCCGAAGCACAAGATGAGAATTAGCCACGTCGTTTATCGAAGGAGGATCATTTAGAACAGAATGCCGTGAACCTCGCTATTTTACCGGGGATTATTATATCGCGTAGGATTTCCTTAATGTGCTTCATCATTTGGGATTTCCAACGGAGAGTTCCGGAGTTACTCCTGAAATACAGACTCACGCTTAACGATTCTCAATTAACAGGAAGCTCGTGCTCGCGTTATTGTTAGATGCTATTATTAGGCCGTTTTAACGAGAGAAACAAAAAAAAAAAAAAAAAAAAATTTTTTCAAAAAGGAAAAAAAAAAAAAAAAAAAAAAAAAAACTTTCTACCGAAACGTCTAACGATCGTTTCTCGTGTTCTAAATGCGGATCGTGTTGTTTTTGTCAGTCGATTGAACTTGACGACCGGGAGGGTGAGATTTCCTGTCGTTGATGTACGTAAGTGGACGTGGCAGATAGAGAAGTCCATACGCTGCGTATAATAATCGTTACAAAAGAGAATGGCGGCTACGCAGTGTGTTCCGTTGTTTCCTAACTAAACTCGTAATCTCACATAAGCTCGCAAGCTGGGCTTTCCCATACGAGCTTCCTCTGCGTGTATTGTACAAGGGACTAGGCGGAAGCTTTATGTGAAACGTAGTCAAGTACCGTGAATCTAATAATACGGTCATTAACAAAAAACTTACACACGCCGAAGGAATTCTCACAACAGGAGTTCCTTGTCTCCGTTATTTCTTTCATTATTCTTTTCTTTCTCAGAAAGATTCACGTTGTTGCGATAAATTAATTTTACCATTTCAGCCGAGTCGTGGATAATGTTTTTATCGAACGGCGAATCATGGCTCGGTGCCTCTACGTCGAACGAGAATGACGAATACTCGGAAGTTTAATTTAATTCAGGTTCTCCGTGCACGTTCCACGAACTTTAGAGGGTCTAATCGCCTGGAAGAAGTATAGAAGACGTTGTAATACCTTATTCGCCGTACGAATCTCGTACTGCACATTGATCCTCTTAAATTCCCATGTAGTCTCCGTCTTGGCATTAGCATATTATCTTCCGCAACCTCCTTCCTTCTCTCCTCCCCTCCCATCGCTTTCCTTGCTCCGTCCCTTAGTTCCACCCCCTTCAGCCCTCCGATTCGCAGAAGACTTTGCAGACACTTGAGAGTTTGTTTTAAAACTCAGATAATCGTTCCGAACTCCCACCCTCTCGCGGCTTCTCTCTCTTCTTCCACCCACTTCTCTCTTTCTTCGTCCCAAGCGCTACGCGGCCTATCCCTTTCCCACGGACGCGTTCTCCGCCCTCTCCGGTCTCAAGGGGAAAATTAGATCAAAATAAGACTTCTCGCCAATTTTTAAACGTGTTACACCGTTGTCTCCGTGGGAAAGGGGAGATTACTCGTCGTTGAGACGACACGATAAAAAGACGAGAGAAAGATCTCGCGAATCGATTAGAAATTCGAACGGTTCGTCGCCGTTTACGTCGCGGTTTAAAAAGCCGCGTGACGCGTTTGATGGATGAACGAGGGGGCGCGAGGCTTCCTTTCAACGAGGCGTTTCCTTTCCACTCGGCGAGCCGAAGAGAGGAGAGGAGCAGAAATGGAACAGCTCGAGGGACAAGGACCACGGTAATTGAATTTATCGAGGGTGATGACCGTCGTATTTTTTTCCATTCCTTCTTCCTCCTTTTCCCACTGGCCGGTTGCCGGTTTACCTAGGATCGCTTGGCACACTCGAGTTATTCGTAAACGGCGCACGGTCAGGCGTTATTTACAAGAGCCGATGAGATCCTGCCGAGAGAGCTCGCTCGGTTGCTATAGCCGAGAGAAAGATTGGGACAGCTGTCCGTTCTCAGGCAATCAGAAAAACTACCTTCCACCTCGGTTCGGCCGGGGCAACTCCGCCATTCCCATAGCCCACGGCTTAAGGAGAAGCGTCAGGGGTTGGCAGCTGCTACGACCGGGACTCTCACCCTCTTCGCGGTTTTTAAGAATCTTAACGCCTCCTTCTCCTCCCCCTCCCCCTTGCTCCCCTCCTTTGCTCTTGATTTTGTCAAGTCGAGATAGCACGGCCACTTTGCATTCCTTCGCGACGTTTAATTCCACCAACGAGCCGCCGGCTGTTCCAAGGGTCGAATTATCCTTTCCTTCCTAACTCCTGTTGATCGCCGTTTCCGCCTAATCCGTTCCCACGATCATTACGCGTTTCGCGCGAGCGAAACGCGCACTCTTCGAGGAATCTGTCTCGTTTGTGCTCATATTGTCGCAATAAAATCAGGCGGCGTTTCTACGCGTTTCGTATCGGTTTCGGGAGAGTTAGGATCGTCAACGACAATCTTGATTTCTAATCTGAACGTGGTTGATTCGTGACACTTAAATGAGAAACACCGCGTAGCGAAACGACTCGGACCACCTGACGTTATCTCACCGCCGCGTCAAACCCGCACCGGAGACCAGCTGTCTCGAGCGATTGTCTTTTCCATTCAGATGCTAAATGTCAGAATGACATTCACCAGAGGAAATAGAACGGCCGTGGATGTCGCGGGCAGACACCTTCGGGGCGTTCTCTGCGATCGAAGGTATTCACGCTCCAGGAACGACATGTCAAGAGGGATCCGTCAGGCTTAGCGTAATAGATGCGCAAACTACATTAGCATGCCGCGTCGATTATTGGCATTAGTCTGCCAGCCCGTTATTTCACGGCATCGGTCATTTATAACCCTCCGAGACGCAAATCCCCCCCTCTCGGATGAAATCGATATTACCACGAGTCCATCGATGGCGCTGGAATCGTGAAAAACGCGCGAGATCGCGATTTTTTGCAGCTCTGACGCTTTTTCAAGCGTTTGCTTGGCGACGTCGGAGTCGTTTCAGTCGTATCATTGCGTGTCGAGAGAACGGAAGAAAAGGAAAAAAATCGCGACGCGACAGCGCGATTTATGCGTTCAAACGTAGCGCGCGATGTGTTTCTTCCTTTTCCACGGTAGGCGAGAAACAATCGTTGACCGGTTCTACTTTCGCACGTGATTTCTCTTCGTCCTCGTTTCGCCGACCAAACGTGTCGGTTGGTTTTTTCCGTTCAACGCGACAACGGATTTCGCAGCGAGCCGTACGTGCAAACTGATATTAATTGAACTAAACACTCACGCACGAGAAGCGAGTGCTCACGCACAACGGAAACGAAGGAAGGACGCAGCACGGCGGTAGGCAGCCGCCGGTGAACATGAACACTTACGTGGTGTGTAGAAATAGAGTCGCAAGGGTTAGCAACCCCTGAATTACACGCAGCTCCCTGGCAGAACCGGTTCTAGGAGAAGGGGAGAAAATTTACATATTATAAGTAGTACACGTTGCCGAGTCTGATATCATCGGGAGCCGGGGACCTCGTTATTCTGTGCATGCGTACAATTCGAGCGTGTGCACCGGCAATCTAGCCTCTTCGACCACTCTTAAAAAGTTTGTCTTGAAACTTCGTTAACGATACTTGCCAGCAATTATGCGAATCGTTCGTTCTATGAACGCGGGGCGCTCTATTAAGACTGGGTTTGCTAAAAAACCGAAGCGATTGGCGGAGAAAGTCGATTTCGAAGGATTTCGTTCTCGCCTCTGACTTTTCGACACGTTCGCCGCGAAACTGCGCGGCAGAATAATTATACCGGGCTACTTAATACTAGATTTGGCTTTAGATTTCGCACAAGCTTAAGTGACTGAAATTTTAATTTGCGCCCGATCAAAATTTTATGCGCTTCAATACTTTACTTCGTACTTCCGAAGATTAAGGAAGGGAATTGAGAACAAATTTTGATTTTTGTTGATTGAACGTTAAAGAGGTCTTGAATATTAAAGGAAAATGGGAATAGTGCCAATGCTATAAATGTGTAAACGGACCAATCTCCGCGTACGTGAATTGATCTGACTTAAAGTCTTCAGGTTTTAGGTAACACGTTATAGGAAGTCGATGAGACCATAGGCAGCTCCGCTTACGTAAAACACGTAAATGGCGTTGCAACGATGTTGAGATATTTATCAGTCGTGGTTACTGAGACATTTGAGCGAGTCGGCTGGTAGTTGATCGGTAAATATTGCACTTGGTAAATTACGGTACGTGACGCCAGCATGCAGAGGGACGTAAACATCCTTGCAAGACGGAGGTCGGATTAAGTAGATCGGATCCTCGTTGGGTCAGACAGGGCAAAGTCCGCGGCGAGAGCTTAAGATATTGTTTCGAAGCACGGCTGTTGTCTTAAGATAATCAAGAAACCCAAACGGCTTAACCAGACGACGAGTTTATAATTCCAACTTGTAGAGTAAAGTCGTCGTCCTCCACGATTATCGAGAGGCATTTTCAACGATATTTAACAAAATAAGAGCCGAAAGGCGAAGAATCTATCGATTTTCTTTTTTATTTAATTTCATCTCGACCAGCATACCTGAAATTCCACTTTGTATCTATCCTGATGCATTCTCATCTATATCGATCGAACATCTTTATAATTCCAGCGCGATCGTCGTGTTTGAAAACTTTTCGCGACGAAGAGTTCTTTAACGGATGCGCGCATTTCAGCCCGGTAATTCCACTTAAGCGCGTCGGCGAATCCCTTATTCAAAGAGTAAATTCTTTCGCACGTTCCAGTCCCGGCGAAGACGGCGGATCGTTACGGTATGCGATGAGGCTTGCTTAACGGACGAGCTTAATTAATAAGGACACGCGATATCCTAACTCGTAAGATGATGGCGGGGTGGTAAAGCATAGCTGAAGCCCCCCGGGGGAGTCCTTTGTTGTCAAGAGGGTCAGGACGAGCGACCTGCCACTTTAACCCATCTTAAGGGGTTACGTCTTAAGGAGTTTTGAACCTTACGGAAGATATCCGACGGTCGTAGTCTCTTCTCACCGGCAGATTCTCTCCGGGAGGCTCGACTACGTCACGCGGGAAAGCGATACGCTTGCATGGTCAGCGTACGTATTTGCGACGGATATCGCGGGGATATCGAGCACGCGTTTATAGCGGTATCGCTTGTCAAAGGATGTCAACCGGTATTCCAGAGGATTATGTAGATCGCGGGGCGTAGGCATAATCGACGACCGTGGCGCGTGACGCGTGGTTACGAAAAGCGTTTAAAAACTCAAAGGCATTGAGTTTCATTACCTGTGGTTGAAGATGAATCACTTGTCTCTTGATGTGCGCCAGCGTCGCGGTCGACGGAGGATGTACCGCCATGTTTGCAAAAACCAGTCTCTCCTCGTAGTCGCTCTCGCACAGGATTTTGTTCTCGCACAGGAAGAACTTGTCCCCTATGCAAAATCTGCGAACAAAGGAAGAAAGAGAGAGTCACTTTAATTTCTTTTGTTTTTTTGCGAAACATTCGTTTTCGTATTTTATTAATGCGACGTGGGAGGTGCGTCGCGTGGATCGGTATGACGAGGCTGGAAAGTGGCAGAGGCTCCCGAAGAAATTCCGTGCTAAGAGTTGTCGGGGAGATAGGCGGGGTAGTAAAGCGTGCTAATTCCTTTTAAGATCGTTTTCCGTTCTGCTCCGTCGAGGAAATTGCGAGAAAATAAAAACAAGCGGCGAAACGCCACCGGTAGCTTCTTCCGAGAGTGTCTTTCGAGGTCCTTTAAATGTAAATTTCCACCCGATTCGCAGACGCTACGTTCGTACCTGGATTACCGTCGAGTCCTTTTCTCGGCTCTAACCTTCTTTCCTGCGTCTCCCCATCGCAGACGTTGAACACCGGAATCGAAATCTCTTCTAACGACCCGCCAATAGTATTCACGCGTCTCCTCGAACTCTTCCCTGCCAACTTCTCGCGTTTCGTTTTCTTTTTTTTTTTTTTTTTTTTTTTTTTAACGCGTCGATACCGCGACTTTTGTAAACCACGAACATCCATATAGTATATATATTATAATTCGATAGCGTTCTGATAAAGCGCAGCATCGCGGTAACTGTGCTTTAAAATTCAACGAATGAAATCCACGGTATTTTCCACTGATCCTACGCGGTGTGCGATATGTATATACATGGAAACGCAGATTTCGAAACGGTGGCGAAGTACGAACGTGCTTGGCTTGCGATATAAGAGAAATAAGGTTGCCCGCGAGGGTTATACGCATCGACCAACTGTCGCCCGAGCGGGCGGCAAAGGGGACGCGTGGAAGAGGCGCCACTAAAATCAAAGATTTCGCATTTTTCCGTTTTATTGCCGGCTTAAAAGTCAATTTTTTCTGTAACCGCGGGAGAGAACGGGGCGCCGGATTCTGGGATGTCCGCATAAAGGACGATACGCCGGAAATGCTAAAGAACCTTGGAAAACGAGGATCACGAGGGACGGGCTGGTGCTTCCAACAGGCACAATAGATCCTCGCTGGATCCACGAGGGACTCGAAAATCGTTTTGTCAGGATACCGCGACGGCTTGATATTCTCGTCAGGTGCCGTGAACATCGCTCTCAAAGTGTTATACGTACTTCGTATCGACCGTCAGGATGACGAACCGCAGTTATTCCCGCGATTTGTCTTCCAAGAGTAAAACTGTCGTTCTCGTTATTTCATTCCACTCTGTATTGCACGATTATATAACGCACAATCGTGAAATATAATACTATTTCGGTATTAAGAATGAATTTCGAGCTTTGGTTTCCTGCTGTCTAACCTCTCTGATATCTTTGTACAGGTTTTGAACTCCAAATTTAACTCGTTTGTAGGTCATATTCACCTTCTTGCACTATAAATTCATCTTTTTGCAAATCAAATTCATTTTGTGGATGAGTCGAAAGTGAAGTTACACATTTTATTGTTTCTACCACCATACTCTCCCTATTGAAGAAGTTTATTTTTCTCAAAAATTACTCTTTGTGTAAGATATAGTTTGGCTGATCCTTCGAACCATGAACATTTAATAGATGCTATTAATCATTCTGTTGCAATTATCACTCCTGCAGATTGTCATAATTAAGTACTCCGCACAGCGGCAGGCGAATCGTTATTGACAAATCTACATACGTATATATAAAAAATTTTAATGTCAAATAAGTATTTTTTATTTCAATATTATCACATACATGTAATAAAATTTTATTTCGGAATAATATCTTTACATTGAATTTGATTTTCATTACACTAGCTTAAGAAGACAAATTTGTAGAAAAACTTGATTTGCAAAAGAGTGAATTTGATCTGTGAGAGGATGAATTCGATTTGCAAAAATGTAAATATGATCTGCTCATGCTTTTGCATTTCGATGTTCGAGACAAGAATACAAAGGAATATCATAGTTATATTAAATTTTATTTAATTTTATTTATTTACATTTAAATTTAATATCTGACAATATTTTCCATTCGTTGAATGCTCAAAGTTTGAAGACTACGCACGTATAAATATCGCGTAGGTGTAAACGTAGGAGGTGTATCTTAGTATCGTAATTCAGCGGTGAATAATAAAAGCATTTTTTTTTTTTTTGGAGGGGGAGAAGGACAATGTACATTGCGTACATACGGACATTGCGTATTCAACGGATGTGCTGTCCCGTGCTGCGATCCTGTTTGAGTTTTATGTCGGGATTTCTGTCGAGTGGTTTATGCCGGCGCTTATGTAAATGCAGACGTGATTTTTTTCAGCACCTACCCGGGCCACCTGCACGAATACGCAGAGGATTTGCAGCATTTGAAACGAGCCAGGTCAGCAATCGCAACGTGAGTAACAAAATGCGTGTGCGTTGCCTTTGAGGCGAAACATCCTCGAGCTCGATGACGTGATCGTGAAGGTTTTCCTATTAAATACCGCGAGAACGCGGATTCTTAACTCGCGTTCAGTTCGAAGGAAACGTAGAACGATTTTCGATACGCAACGCGACCGATCGATTCCACGGAGGGGATGATTTAGCGTCATCAAAAACGAATTGAGATAGCATCTGTCGGCGTTCGGTAACTGGCGTCGCGAACGATGATTACCCTTTGATTTTCCATTCTTTTAATTCCGCGACACCGGAATTGTGTCGGGGAGGAGAGACGACAGGAAAGCAGACAGAAGCTCGCGAAGGTTGCGGAAGGGAAAGAAAATAGCGAGAGAGAACCGAAGAGCGATCGGAACATCTAGCATGGACCGCCATAAAAAGCAATGCTCCACCGTAACGGGGTACGATAAGTGCCACGGTGCGAAATAAAATCGATCCCGGGGGCAGCCTCGAATCGTGCACCATAAAAAGGGAACATTAGAGCGAGAGGACGAGTGGTACAGAGGCAGAGAGGAAGCGGGATGGAAGCAACGACATGGTGGCATAATGGTGTTGTGATTTTCTGACTAGATACGCGATATAGATTGCACGTCGCGTCGATGCAACGCTTAAACGCTTGGGGCATTAGTTGACGTTAAATGGCGCCGAAACGTTTCGCGGCGGTGTCGTTTCGCGACAACGTTCGCGTTCGGGGGAAAAACTCTCAGCCCCAGTGCGAGTTCCTATATGTTGAAAATAAGCATCAAGCGTTGTACAATTTCGACAATTATTTTCTGCGATAGCTGTTGTTAACGTGTCGGGTGAAACCGGAAAACGAAGACGATGGCAAAGGGGTTGTCTAGCGAGACCGGTCGTGACTTTGAACGTTGTCAAGTCGAAAGGAGAGGAAGCCCCCGACATTCGTCGGCAAACAGAGCGAGTTGTCGAAGCAGTGTACTGCAGTGGGGTGAGAAACCCCAAACGGCAACACTTCGGCGGTAGTCAAGGCCAGAGACTCGGAAGGGTGGAAGGGCGGTGGTGCAACGTCGGCGTGGAGGTGGTTGCAGGGAATAAATTTTGTACTTGATCGCGGAATCCCTACGCGCGCGAGAGAAGAGCCGGAGAAAGCGTCTATATTCTTGGTAGTTGCCGGCGCTCCTACTCAATTTGCATCAAACTATGGAGAGACAACCGCCTCCGCCCTCAAACGCCCCTACCCTCGGCTTTTCGCAGAGCTACCGTTCTAGCACCTGATGGAGCTGTACACTCCACCCCTACCTCCACGTTCTACAGTCGAGACTAACGCGTTTAGCAGAGACTCGAACCCCTAATCAGATCTTCCGCCGACACCAGGGTTTCTAAGGTGTTACTAAGTGTGAAGTTAATGGAGTCAAGACGCTGTTCCTTCGTGCCGAGGCGTTCGCCCGGTATGACGTTAGGCAGTCTTGTCTGTTTAAGAAACAGCGAGGATTTCGTTTCTTAAACGGAGGATGCATTTTTATTATAACAGAGGCGGACTATTTTCATAGTGCGAGGATACATATCACAGTATCAACAAGCAAACGATAATTAAGACAGTAAGTGTATAAATCCTAAATTTTGAACGATCACGCGCTTCTCCTTCACGTTTTCAAATTCTACGCTACGTTGTGAAATATTTCGTCGCATTCTAAATGAGGATGACGTGACAGAAATCTCTTTTCGTCTTTTCGAACAGACCGTTAATTTATACACGACACCGGAAAATTGACGATTCATCGTGTCCTTCAGGTTATCTCTCGTTACGCCAGCTCATATCTGGCCGCTTTATTTCGATAATGGCTGCTTACCTAGTGCGTTCTCCTGTTAATTAATTCAGACTGTCGGGGTATCAGGGAACTGTGACGCGCTAATTCGATCAGAAGTGAATTCGCTCGGTTCGGTAGCGAGGGCTGGTCGCCGCGCCGCGCCGCTTGGGGGAAGTGCGCTGCCTTTGCTTCCAAGACAGATTTACCCCCCGTAGACAGTTGACGTCGCTATCTAAATGTCGCTGCAGAGACGCGTCGGAATGCCACTCGATAATACACAACGCGACGTCTCGAATCCGCGCGACTCATTGTCCGACCGTACGCTGCACGCTGACATGGAAATGTTCACGGGCTCTATGTCATGTCACGCGTCCCATCGACGTCGAACCGATGGGCTCAAGACTCCGAATGGAGTCGGACTTTTTGTTTTTAAATTAACCAGGCTGAAACTGATGGGGTCGCCTCCTCATCTCCTCCTCTCCCCTCCACCTCCCCCCAAAGAAAGGAAAATTCCTTTATATTTCCCCAAGAGAGGAACGAAAATTTTCCAAACGAAAGAAATTCAGTCGGTTCATTTGATATTCCGTCCGAGTATAAAGCACGCGGAGGAAACATTCGTCTTTCTATTAATTTCTATGCGGCGTGAAATTACGCGCCGCCGTCCCTAAGCTATATTAATAACGTAGATTACAAAGGAAATTAAGACAACGATGGGCCGTTGATACCTTTAGGAAGGCGGCTTTGCTGCTTCGAAGGGGTTGAATATCGGCTGGGTAGAAACTGCGATATTTCTGTTGCGGACACG